ACTGAAATTTTACTACCAAACAAAAAACAAATAAATAAAACAACAAAGCACTCAAGAAATAAAAAGTAAAATGAAAGGTACGACGAAACCTTACTTCAGAAGATTACAAACAAAACATAGCTGTTTACTGCATTTTGAATTTCAGTTCACTAGGCATGGGGGCTTATAGCCAAAGTATTTCTTATAAAATTGCTATTGTTAGCTTTTGATGTTAGCTTTTGATTGTTAATACTTGTTGAGTTGAAGATGTTATAGGTCATATCAATTCGGCGATATGAATTTCGATATCAAATCAGATCAATGATATCAACCAGGCCGTGCCTATATAAGAGCGATACTCAATGAGTGTAGTTCAATTGTTGTTGTGGTTTTGGCTGAGGCCAATAAAACTGCCATCACCGGAGTCAGTTCCCCTCCCAATACACACGAGTCGTGTAACTTGGGGGCCGAACGAAGCGAACCTCACCGAAGAGAGGTTAGTTGATTGTAGCCTTGTAGGCCGTTCAGAGCGGCTAAGGCTGAAGTCTTGCCATTGACCGGCAGTGCTCCTTAGACAAGAAGAAGTTCGTAACAGTTACGGCTTCAAGTCAAGGACTACACGGGCAAAGTCAGTGGCAGAGACAGAACTACTGCTTGACGAGAATTGAACAGTAGTTCACGTCGAGTTCAAAGTGCAACGTAACACGTTTTCAGTTACAGATTGCATAATGTCGACAACGTCGGATATAAGTCCAGCTGAGTTGGAAAAACTCCTACTCGAAGAGTCCACTACAGCTGAGCAGCTGGCATCAATGAAGTCGACATTGGAACGCCTCATAACTAAAGTGGATAATCTTGCGAACAAGGACTCGCAACAGGTGCGATATTCAGCAGATATTATCGCAGAGAAGTTGGCGAGCATACGCGAGATTCCGGCACAAATGCTGCAAGGAGTCTCGACCAGGTCCAGCAAGCAGGCGGAAGAGTTCGTATCCTCGAGAATCAATGGAGAATGTGTTCTCATTGAAGAGGAACTCAAGCGCCTGGCTGAGCTGGAGGCCGAGACTGCAGCTCTTAAAAGCTTGGTGTGTGAGACGTTAGGAGTGATCCTTAATGCAAAAACGCTGCAGTGTACAGCTGACACACTAGAGCTTAGCCGTAAGGCACAGTTTACCAACGTTGTCCACTTACAGGAGCTTCACAAAGATGGAGAAGCTGACAAAAGTGGAAACAAACCTACGATCGTGTACGAACAGCTCAACACAAATGAGTTCGACGATGTCGAGTACCATTCAGAGTTCGATCCAATAGCTGCAGCGCAAGGTAAATGTTTTCGAGAGATTACCCTCGACAGGAAACCTGTATGCGAAAACTTGCAGCCAGAAAGGACGATCGAATCGAAGCTGAAGACCAAGGCCTCGAGCCGCTCGTCATCGATTCTGTGCCAAAGCCAAGGTGGGTCAGATCGTTTCGAGAGTGAAATTGGGCCTATCCTAGCAGCTATGGCCTTACCCGAGGTAGAGATATTTGATGATCCACAAGGGAGAAAGTTCAATGACTTTATCTTGAGGTTCACCATGAAATACTCAAACCTTGGATTGCGAAATGACCTGCTTAACCATCTGCTTCTGACAAAATTAGAGGGATACCCCAAAGCAGTGGCTAAAACTCTGCCAAAACATATAAGAGAAGGAAACTTCGATGTTCTCGTAGAAGCTCTACGAGCAAAATTCGAAGTAAACGACTCCGCAATGCAGATGAAGGCATACCTTGATCTTAAACGCCTCAGGAAAACTGGAGACGTGACAAGATACTGCCTGGAGTTGGAAAGGCTATCTAGAGAGGCCTATCCTGATGCATCTGAGGAGGAGTTGTCTCGCACCAGAGCAGGAGAATTAGTGAGCCAGTTAACGGATTGGCCCGAGTATCTCCAGCTCTACACCACGATGGAGATTGCTCCGAAGGAAGCGGCGTATGACATGGTAAAAGCCATGGCTCAAAGGTGTGAAAGAAGTAAAGAAGTAGCAGCAGCCATGCGAGACGCTGCTGGAGATTGTGCCAAAAGACCGCAAGAAGGCGGAAAACGCAACGCTGACCTTACTTACGGAACAAAAGCGCAAAACTTCAAAAACACACCAGAAAAAGCGCCAGCAAGCGCCAACAAAGATGTCCACACGAAGGCGGATCAGCGTAGGACCGTCATCAAGTGTTTTAACTGTAACAAAAAAGGGCATCTGGCAAAAGACTGCATGCTGCCAAAAAGGCGGGCAGATAACGATGGAGCAACAAGAACGAGGCAGCAAACAGAACCTCCAAAAAGTTTTAGCACATCCCTAAGAAATTGGATATGCAGAGCAGTGAAAGCACCGGACAATTGCGATCTGGTTGGAAAGCAAATGACTGTCGAGGTGCACCTACTGGGAATGCGTCGCAAGGCATTGTTGGACACAGGCTCCCAAATTAGCATTCTGCCACTGCAAGTACTCAAAACAGCTCTGGAAGCTGGTTTTGACGTAGACGCTGATGTGAAGGAGATTCCTTTCAATCAACACAAAAAGGTTCTCGATGCCTCCGGCAACAAGATGTCGTTCAAAGGAGCGATAAGCCTAACAGTACAATTGGGTAACGGTGACAAGCAACGAATAGCCGTATTCGTTATGTCGGGAGGAGACGGCATGATGGTTCTGGGAACCAATGCTCTACGGAAATTTGGTTATAGCCTTATTCATCGGGATTACACCAAGCCTGTGGCTCAACCATTAGCCGTAGAAATCGACAATGCTTGCACGCAGAAAAATCGTGCCACAAAGCAACAACATACTCAAGAAAGCGGACCACCAAATTCCCTCCCAGTGACTGTCACCAAACGAGTATATATCCGTCCGGGTCAGACAAAGCTGCTGAATGTTCAGTGCAAGAATTTCACAAAGGAAGGAATCCTCTGGTCGAAGGAGTGTTTACTTCCAGATATAGTATGGGAAGGTGGAAAGCAGACACAGAACCTGCCCATAACAAACACCTTTGCAGGAGCAAAGATATTTCGAGTAGGGGAGGAGGTAGGGACATTCGAACCCACAACGGTTGTCGAAGTTCCACCTGTCTACCCTGGAGACATGTTAGAACGTACTGTGGAAGCGTCTACAGACAGGGAAGAGAAATTGCTAACAGCACTGCGTGCGAAAAGAACAAGCGGAGAGTGTGACGAAGCAATGGTAGCCCTGGTGAGGCGTTATGCCAACGTGTTCGCCGTTAGCGAACAGGAGCTTACCCAGACGAACCTAGTGGAGCACAATATTGACACAGGCGAAGCAATGCCGATACGGCAAAAAGCTCGTCCAGTGCCACTAGCCACACGCGCGGAACTTCGTCACATACTGAATGATCTGCATGAGCGTAAGATCATTGAACCAAGTAAATCGAGCTGGGCGTCACCCATAGTTTTGGTACAAAAGAAGGACGGGACGCTCCGATTATGTGTAGACTATCGCAAGCTAAATCAGGTAACGAAAATTGACAGTTATCCGTTACCAAGCATCGACACAATCTTGCAAAGTCTGAAAGGAAAGAGATACTATTCTACATTAGACCTGTCCTCAGGCTATTGGCAGATAGCTCTTTCTGAAGATGCAAAAGAAAAATCGGCGTTCACTACGACAGAGGGCCTATACCAGTTCCGGGTATTGCCGTTCGGCCTAGCGTCGTCGCCGGCCGTATTTCAACGCTTAATGCATGCCGTTCTAGGTCCTCTACTGGGGGATGAGGTATTCTGCTACTTGGATGATATCATGGTAGCAACAGAAACGGTGGAACAGCATCTTCATGTTCTGGAACGGGTTTTCCAGCAGTTATCAAAAGCACGGCTAAAGCTGAATCCAAGGAAATGTGTGCTACTGGAGAGGAAGGTAGAGTTCCTCGGCCATATTATCGATCAAAAAGGGTTGCACATGGATCCAGCGAAGGTGGAAGCGATAAAGAGGTATCCACTACCACGGTCGCGCTCGGACCTTCGAACTTTTCTCGGTATGTGCTCTTACTACCGGAAGTTCGTATTGGGATTTTCAAAAGTGGCTGCGCCACTCCATGAGATGACGTCCGAGAAAGTACTTTTCAAATGGGACTCCATGCGAGAAGCATGTTTTGAAAGATTGAAATCAATTATTGTGCAAGCACCAGTGCTCGCACAGCCAGATATTGAGGCGGCCAGAAATGGGCAAAAGCCATTCAAAATTCATACCGATGCAAGCGTTCAGGGTTTAGGCGCTGTCCTGAGTCAAGAAGGCGACGATGGATTTCTACACCCGGTGTTCTTTGCATCGAAAGGTCTTTCTCGCTCTGAGAAAAATTATCACGTGACCGATTTGGAAGCATTGGCGGTCGTTTTTGCCTTGAGAAAGTTCCATATGTTCGTATATGGGCTTCCGGTCGAAGTATACACCGACCACCAAGCTTTAACAGCGCTCTTCAAACGTACCAATGTCTCTGCAAGAGTGCTCCGATGGGCACTCGAACTTCAGAAATATAATCTGAAGATAATTTACCTTAAGGGGGCTGCGAACCGCGTGGCAGATGCGCTGAGTCGTGGTGCCATTCCGCCAAATGAGGAGAAGATGGGATCAATTCCCAACGAACTCATTGTGGCTGCTGCGGCGGAAGAGCCTGAGTGGACAACCGAACTCCGACAGAACCCTGGTTATGCTGAGGTTATAGCGAACCTAGAGAACGGGAAGCTTGACAAAGACGTCATGATTCCAGAGCTGTTCCAAAAGTACAAAGTGGCAGACTTTGTAATGGACCAAGGGTATCTGGCGCTACTGGACAATTGTCTAGTGCGAAGAGTTGTGCCGATGTCCAAAAGAAGAGCAGTATTTGAAGAAGCGCATTCCGGTCTATTGGCTGGACATTTTGGTCCGAAGAAACTGATCAGACAACTGTCAAAAAGGTTGTTTTGGGAAACTATGAAGCGGGATATCACCCAGTGGTCCCAAGAATGTCGAGAATGCCTTTGTCACAATCATCGTCATCCAATGATACCAGGGTTAAAGCCGATCGTGACATCAATGCCGTATGAACTTGTTGGCATAGACATCTTGGAGATGGGACCAACGACTAGCGGTAACCGGTATATACTCAGCGTGATAGATCATTTCTCGAAATTTGGAGGTGCTTATGCCATCCCATCAAAATCTGCGTTGATGGTAGCAAGAGTATTCTTCGAGAGGTGGGTCGCTGAAGGAGGACGTCAACCAAAATGTATCCTGTCCGATCAGGGAGGAGAATTTGACAACCGGTTGATGCAGGAGCTCAGGTCGTTGATGGGTATAGACCAGGTATTCACCAAGGGTTATAACCCTCGAGAAAATGGTCTGACTGAACGTTTCAACCAGACTTTGATCCAAATGTTGAGGAAAAAGGTATCTGCTCCTACCGAGTGGGACACTATGCTCCCATTTTGTGTGTTCGCTTACAATACAACGACACATGAGTCCACAGGAGAGTCACCTTTTTATTTGTTACACGGATTCGATCCGTACGTTCCCTGGAAAACAGTACCTCCCAATGAAATAAGCAATTATGCGGTAGACTTCGAAAGCTACACGCAAGAAGTTGCGGCGGCAACGAAAATCGCCCGTGATTACGCTCGGAAGGCAAATGATAAAATGCGGCACAAGATGAAAATTGCTTATGATCGGGACAAACAGGTATGCCTAAAGACCCCGAAAGTCGGTGATCGGGTATACATGAAAGTTCCTACAGAAAAACAGTCATCTCGGAACCCCAAGCTGGTTAATCCTTGGGAGGGGCCGTATCGTGTGCTTGATATCAGCAATAATAGTGCTCTTATAACCTTGATAGATGGATCAAGAGAAGCTGTTAGAGTACCGTTTGATATGCTGTTGAAGCTGCCAATGGGAGTATCCAATGAGGCCCTAAGGACTAGTAAAACCAGAGGGAAGAGAGGGAGACCTAAAAAGAAGAAAGGTCCAGGTAGCGTTGTGTCTGAAAGAGTTTTCTGTTTCAGGACACTGATTACCTTTGAACATCCTCTCAACTTGCGACGGAGATGCAACTGTGGTATATTTGAACAGATGGCGCATGTGGCACTACCAGCACTCAAGCATCCAATGGCACGTTCAAAAAAAGTCATGGATATGTTTCAGCTAGCCAACGTCGCCTCAATTTCGGAGCAAGAGTGTTGGGGAGACGAGCGTAAAGAAGCGGAACTACGTATGAAAAATTCCCAGTACCTGACACCGTACGGCATAGCTATGGCGATGCAAGCACACCGTCGCCGTTGTCATGCATATGCGGAAGCGATTGATCAAGCCCAAGGTATGCGATTCGAACACCCGGCGCTTTTCTCGTGGCCGGTGAAGTACGATGTCGGCGCATACATCACGACCGCACTCTCGATGTTGAAATATGTGAAGGCGTCAGGCCCGTCGACAGTAACTATTCAACAGATTTTCCTAGCTTTACCTTCCGCTTTCTGCAGAGTCCATGCAGATGTGGACTACGGCGACAACATGTTGGTGTATGTCTACAACAAATGGGAGCTGCTGGCTCAAAAACTGATAGAAATGGACATTGCGAAACGACAAGGAAAGTTCTGGAAGGAGAAACACACGGAAAATTCAAGAAATGGAAGTGCTTCTCCTATGGAAACTGGAGACGATTAGTAACCAATCGCGTATAGTTCTAGAGTCGGGACGACTCTATCGCCCCGCCGGGCATGTTAGCTTTTGATGTTAGCTTTTGATTGTTAATACTTGTTGAGTTGAAGACGTTATAGGTCATATCAATTCGGCGATATGAATTTCGATATCAAATCAGATCAATGATATCAACCAGGCCGTGCCTATATAAGAGCGATACTCAATGAGTGTAGTTCAATTGTTGTTGTGGTTTTGGCTGAGGCCAATAAAACTGCCATCACCGGAGTCAGTTCCCCTCCTAATACCCACGAGTCGTGTAACTCTATTAGGCTGCTTTTGAAGTCTGCGCCGTCCGCACGGTCCGTGCGAAGAGCGCCAACACGCGCTCTGGTGCACAACGCGTACTTGACGCAGAGTCGACGCCTTGTACGTTACGCGCTAGTGCGCGTGTTGACGCTCTGCGGACAACGCAGACTATGAAAGCAGCCTTAGGACGAGTTTGGTCACGGGAAACAGAGTAATTCCTGCTTTTAAGTCTCCATAGTAGCGCTAAGGGTAACTAAAGTCTTGGAAATTGTCTCGTGAGCCACAGCACAAATGTCAACAAGATTTAAGACTTGAGAAATGCAGTGGTAGGGTTTTCCTCACTAGAGCGTGGATGCATGGGCTCAAAGACCATGTACATTCTCGAATTCAATTCCCAGTGTAACATAAGAATGAAATCGGTAGTGCAAAACCTGTGGTGCCGAATCAACGATCAACGAAATAATGACTTTTTGGATGGACTTATATGTAAGGAACTACGTGGTTGCTGCAGTTGTGCGCAGAAAATTTCAAGTATCCACCATACACTATACTCAGCGAAAAATGAGTTCTTGAAAAAAAGTGAATACCTGATGATATGAGTCAAAAGCTGCATAATGAGCGACTAATTCGAGAGCTGACGACGACAACGACAAATCATTAATATCCTTCTCTTCACATCTAATTACATAGCCAAGCAGTAAAAAAACGCGAATACTGCTACCAGGCTCCTCCATAAGTATCTGTAAAGAAAAACACTGCTAAACGGAAACAAATGAAAAAATAAGTCCAAAAATCCACCTTCCAGGTACGAAAGTCTCTGCTGAGAGAGCTACAAATCTCCATAGCGCTGCCAATGAAATGCTCGGCACATAAGGAATCAGAGCTCGTCTTCGAAGAATGTAACGGTAAACATCGTAAAGTAGATATGGAGACCTTCAGTAGGAGATCACAGAATGCCGATGCAATCGTACCTCTTAACAATGTATTAGAGAAACTGACGAAGCTCGTGTTTTGCTTTTTTTTGCCAGCGCCACTTTGCGAGCACGCTATTCTCACCCTACATTGGTAAATTTGTCAATTAGGCGCCCAAAAACAAGGTCGCAAAAAATTATGAGCAAACTCAATTTATTAGATTTCGCAGCTTAGGAGGTAAAACAACCTTGAAAGCGCAAAATGAACAAAAAATGTTAACGCGCATCTCAGGCTTATTCAACATGTTGAATGGCAAAAACTGGTCAAACCAATGAGTAGTCCGGAAAAACATACGTGTCATCACTTGAAACTCCAACCAACTCAATGTGGAGCGAGTTGAGCTTGCTGAATAGCGCGAACGATACATAGGGGTTCACAGCCCTTTCGAGAATCTGTGGTAGCCGACAAGCGAGCAAATAACTGCAAATGCCAGTAAGCGTTGAACAAGGAAACAACTATGTGGTATTAAAGATTAGCACAAAACTCATAAATTAACACGAACTTTACAATGTGATCTAAAAGCGCAGAAGTATTTAATTCATTACCTCGCGATCATACTTATACGGATTTCCATGTCATGGCTTTCCACGCCGAATAATTGCCATTCACTAGTATTTCGAGCGCATTTCACAGTCGCCAACAGAACATCCAGTAAACACAACAATTCCGAATCGTGTTCAGGCCTCTGAAAATCGGTAAAAAAAAAGTCGATCCAACGCAAAAATGCAAAAGTAAAACCACGAGATGTTCAATCATTGGCTGGGCTTGCCTTCAACAACAGAACAATATTATCCATGAGTTCTACGAGGAGAGATGTGAATAAAACGACCCGACAGAGAGATGGAATAGAGCATAGCTTGCATACCATTGCAGATAATTTAAGAAGCAATCTGAAACAAGAAGCGATGTCGTAAAAATAGTAATGAACACAAAATTCAAGAAGGAAGAACATGGATGTGTTCACACCAACCTGGTGGAGGCTCCTGTGCTTGTCCACTTCATCTGGATGGAGAGAAGATCTAACAGAAGGTTTGAACCAGAGAATGGACGAGCAAGGTTTGTTGAAAACCATTCCTACAACGAAGTAGCTCACGAGAGATACTTAAATTAGCGTTGTAAGTGATTTCAAAAAAGATTACAATTTCAAAGAAATCTCCTCAATCGTAACTCAGTACAGAAGAAATTTTATTCTCACTCTAGATCTACTAGCACGAATTGACTACACTGGCGTGCAAAACTTAAGGACGGAAGTAACTTTCACATGATATGGCACTGTTAGCTAGCCTAGGTCGATCAAATTTGGCACATACATAGAAGTAAGTGTTGCGATAGAGTGCAGTGTTACTAGCAGAAAGGCGCAACGGGACGATGAAAAAAGACATTTCTCTTCAAATATCCTGTCTGAAGCGGTCTACATGTAAGGCTACTCCAACCCATGATAGACATTCAAAAGAGAGTTCTTGATGGGATGTATGAACACCACGGACTGCAAGGCATGCTCTGCCACGTACTCCAATACTGGTCACAAGGTTCGTTAAAAGTTCTTGTGGAGAAGCGATCCGCTCTTCGAAAACCGCGATAGACAACTACAGGACAATTGTTGGCGCATGGGGATGCGCTACAATATCTCTCCTCAATGCAAGCCACACGTGCTCTACAGGGGTGACCAAAAAACACTTTGCCCATGGCGCACATCATCGAACTTTCCGTCGCAAAGGGAGCCGATGATATGGAAAGTTTTACGGCGAAATATTCCTAACCAAGGTCTTTTCCCGTGAACAGAAGTAGGCCCTCCGTTTCTGTCCCCGTCTTTGGAATATGGAGTCATCTGCCGCCACCGTCGAGCTCAACGAGGCTTACCGTAATTGCTCCGGCCTGAAGCTGCTACATTATTTCTTCAATGGATTCGCTTCCCAGAGACATTAGCTGTGACTGTGCAAAACCGCTTTTGGCCAGCGTTCCAGGGACGTTGTTTCCGTGGGAAAATCTTCTGTCGTCGTCGCTGTAGAAGGCTACCATGTGGATTAGAGATAGATTAGAATGTGCTCTTCAATACTGAGTTGGAGGCAGTGGATTTGATATTAGCAAAGTGTGATTAATGCTGTCTGAAATGAAGAGTGAAGTGTCTTTTTTTGGCCACCCCTGTATAGAATGTGACTGGGGAAAGCGAACAGCCTTCACCAATCGCCGGAAATCCTCGCTTTCAAAGAGTTTTGCACCGAGGCTGCTCGATGCTCTCGCGCCTTGTCCCGCATACGATTGAAGTTGAGGTCAACGGCACCCTTGAGAAGATGCACATAAATAAGGAGTACAGCGTCACAATAACCTCGACCAGAAAGCACTGCGCGATCAGAAGTTGGGAGGTTGGTACGCCCTTGCAACTTTCTGCCTCCTCACACCATATGGAATAGACTATCAGAACAAACATGTAGAACGATGGTCCTGCTTGCATTACATGTTCCTGTTCTCGCCACATGCGGATAAGTCAAAAATCACAACTTAAATCCACTTTGATCTAAAAAAAAGAAAAGGAAAGAAAAAAGAAAGGAAAACGTCGCCAGTGTCCCCCGGCAACTAGTAAATGTTCTCGCCAATGCGCGGGTTTCGAAGGAACACCAGATACTGTTGGTCGTTCAAAGGGACCATCCCTACGCAGTCACTCTGCCACTGTTCAGGCTGGGATCACGTGCCTTATAATCCCGACCAGATTGGTCCTCCAGCAGCCGCCGGGTCCTCCCTTCCCTACGAAGCTTGGCGATCCTCCTTCTCACCTTATTCTCATCTCCTCCCCCTACTGCTCTTCAGCTGCCACTGCAGCACCTTGTGGAATGACTGAAAGTGTGCCAAGTGGGTATTTATGTATTGTCGTTGTATAGGTATTATCACAACCACGTTGCAATAATACCTCAACACCGGATCGAACCGCAATCCTGAAATCGGTGCACTCCCTCCCCTTCCCCCTCCTCCTGCCCATCCCTTTTCTTCACCCGCCCCGCCCCTTCCTGCCCTTTTCCTTCTCCCCTATCACTTCTCCTTTCCCGGCTGCCACGGCAGCATCACGTAGAATGAGGCTGAGTGTGTTTCTGCATATCTCAAGGTGGTTATATACCGCTGTGGTTTATCTGCTAGCCTTTCGAACTCCCCGGATTTGTTAGCGGTTGGTCTGGACGAAAGAACGACACACAACACGCCACACCACACACGACAAACCGACCCACCAAAGCTGTGGTTTTTTATAATGAAGTGGTAAATGGTTTGCATCTGCAGCCTTGCAACTGACGTGAGTCCATTTTCCCTGCTGCAAAACTTAACAATCACAGGGCTGTTGCGTTGGTCGTGATCCACCACCTACTTTTCTAGGGGCAGCAGTGACTGCAGTTCATAATTGCTCCTTATGCACACAAAACAATAGTGTGAGCATTATCGACTGCTGGCCCACACTTTCTCCCTGCTCAGTGCACTCCCACTTGCCTAGTCCACCAAACCCCTCGCTCTGCGTGATCACACCCTTTTGGCTCCAGATTGAAGCCCGGTCGCAGGATAACATGGCCCACCTTGACGCCATGACTGTGAGTTTATAACATTATGCTTGCACAGTTTCATCCAATTCATCGATTTGATAATAAGTTGGTCAATTTATCCATCTCGCCCTTAAGTTTTCACACAGTGAGTTTGTAGTGGAATGAAGACTAATGACCAAACACTTGACATAGTTTCGTTGCTCTAGTTTTTCTCGTTTTCTTTTGTTTCATTCTCATTTCGCTCCTAGCGTACCATTGCTTTTGCGTTTTTTTGGGTTGTTTTGGCCTTAGTAATGGCATTTCAGCTCTTGTTCTTCGGATGGTTCCCATATTTTTTGTCCCCTTGTTGTTAGTTAACACGAGCCAATCGTGTAATAATCAGACCATTCATTAGGAAATCCATTTTTCACAACAATGCAGTGAGACTTTCAAAAAAAAATGTGAATTTACTTGAGATTCGCTTTCTCGGCAAACGTCTCCCAAGGCTCGTTCCAGTAACTGGAGCGCGGAGTCCTCCAGTCTTCCATACTTATGCTGACATTTAATGATCGCATTCGCTAATTCACGAACACATCTCGCTTGACGAGCGCTGGGAGAGGGTGGTTTCTCCATAAGTTCAGTGACCTTTTTATTCCTGAAAACACTGCTCGTTGATTTAAAATAGTAGCCTCCAACAATACGGTTATCAAACCCACCTGGCAGCTAGCCGTTGCTTCACTTTCACTCGCTTCTTTCGCCACATTACATCATCTTCTTCTAGTATTGTTTCACTGCATTGAGGAGCAGGACATTGGATTAAGGAGCAAAACTCCTTTTCCTAGAACAATGCACATATAAATTAATCAGAATAGCTCCGCACACAACTGCGCGCATCACATAGTGGGATTCAAGGAGACTAGACAACCTTTTGAACATTAGGTCACGTTTGAGAAATCAGGTGTTTGATGAGTTGGATGAAGCCCAAAGGTTGTTCGATTTCACTCCAGATTATCGCGTAGTGCGCGCTGCAGCACGCGGAATGAAAATGGTATTTATTATGACTTTGTAAGCATTGAGCATTGATATCGAACCCGGATGATTTATCGGTTTAATAGTTTTGCCGCTATCAGCATCGGCATAGGAATAAAATGTGACCAATCACTGAGCATTTAGTGACTATTTCTAATGGAAATCCCGTATTGGCCCATGTCCAGATAGCTGAACGGCTCAACTTCCCCTGCTCATTTTGGTGAACGGTTAGGAATGGAACATATTCACGTGCTAAAAACCTGGTTCAGTTCGAGTGTACCGCACTCAATTGTCGTTACTTTATCAGTTCAGTTCCCGCTCATTATTACTTCGTGTTGCCTATCATACCGCTACCTTGATCGCTTGCCAGTGATAACTGTAACTAAGTTTGAGACATTTCCATTCAGACGCCTCTTTTCATTCTTTCGCACTGATTAACAGTTCGTACCGCACACCATGGTATCCCCGTCCGCCCCTATACAATGTGTTGGGCTACCACTGTTGGGGTCCCACTGTCACAACGAAGTCTGCACCGATGCGACACTCAAATTCTTATGTTCCTTACCAACCGTTGTCGAATGTTATTACTTTTGATCACCCACTATCCGTGTTCCCGTCCGATCCCCCTAGCCACATGTAAGTGCCAAGTCCCCTAAGCCCCCCACATGTTAAGTGCATAAGTGTTATTTGGGGTGGGACGGGGACATTGTTGGTGGTGCCAGAAACTGATAACGATTGATAAGGCGCGATAATAAGGCGCGCCAGAACGCTGAGTCGTCGTTTCGTTGCCTGGCTCGCGTCCGACACCAGAGCAACCATACTTACAAGTGTTATGTGGCGGTGGGACGGGGACATTGTTGGTGGTGCCAGAAACTGATAACGATTGATAAGGGCCGATAAGGCGCGCCAGAACGCTGAAGTCGTCGATTCCGTTGCCCTGCTCGCGTCGACACCAGAGCAAACCATACTTACAAGTGTTATGTGGGGTGGGACGGGGACATTGTTGTGGGTGCCCAGAAACTGATAACGATTAGATAGGGCGCGACAAGCGCGCGCCAGAACGCTGAAGTCGCGATTCCGTTGCCTGCTCGCGTTTGACCAGCAGAGCAACAATAACTTCAGCTGTAATGTGGGGTGGGACCGGGACATTTGTATGGTGCCAGAAACTGATAACGATTGATAAGGGCCGATAAGGCGGCGCGAACGCTGAAGTCGTCGATTCCGTTGCCTGGCCGCGTTGACACGCAAGAGCAACCACTACTTAGCAGTGTAATGTGGGGTGGGACGGGGACATTGTTAATGGTGCTCCACAGAAACTGATAACGAATTGATAAGGGCCATGATCAGGCGGCGCAGGAAACGTCCTGAAGTCGTCGATTCCGCTTGCCTGCTCGCGTCGACACCAGAGCAACCATGATTACAAGTGTTATGTGGGGTGGGACGGGGACATTGTTGTGGTCCAGAAACTGATAACGATTGATAAAGTGGCTGCGATAAGGCGCGCATGAACGCGAAGTTCGTCGATTCCGGCCTTGCTCGACGTTGAACACGAGTGATTTGAAGCAGAGATATTGCGGCGGGGATTGTTCGCATAGACACAGGATTAATCTACATGCAGAGCAACCATACTTAACCCAGTGTAATGTGGGGTGGACGGGACATTGTTCGGATTTGGTTTGTGTGTCCAGAAAACTGATAACGATTGATAAGCGGCCGATAAGGCGGCTGCCGGAACGCTGAGTCGTCGATTCCGTATGCCTGGCTCGCGTCCGACACCAAGCCAACCATACTTAACAGTGTATGTGGGGTGGACGGGGACATTGTTTATGGGTGCTAGAAACTGATAACGATTGATTAAGGCCGATAAGGCGCGCCCACCGAACGGCCAAAGTCGTCGATTTCGTTACGCAGCGTTGACACTAGAGCGTTCCCTAGTTACAAATTGTAGGAGTCGTAGGTAGTACAAACAAAGGTACGTGCAGCACTGCTTTGAGATATATCCAGGCTAACTTAATGAGCAGCGGATTGCATGAATTCAGTCAATCTTGAGAAAATGATAAAGTTTCCATTTCTATCACGCCAAGCCCAGACCACTAAACCGCTCATTCATTTCAGGGTTCTAAATAATGGTAAAAAGTAAATAAATGATAAGGCCGTAGCTCCTCACTTACGTAAATCGGCAGATATTTCGTTTGAATTCTGAGATGGACAGTAATACTATTCACGCGCTAAATTATCTATATTCAAGAAAAATGTTGATGTTTACAGAGTTTGATCATATACTCAGTTTAGCTGCGATTCTCGATGAGCTTCAGTGAAACTGTCAGGGCCTAACCCGTCAATAGTGAGATGTTAACGGAGTATCTCATGCGGGATATTCCATGGTCCTCCAATTTCGATAAAGCCGGGGAAGCAAAACTGGTACAATATACCAGTTTTGCTCCGCTCCGCTATCGCGCGCTATCACACGACATTACTTTAGCGAAACTTGGAGGGCCCATGAATATTCGCAGGGGGTACTCCATTAACACATTGACCGACATTGAGACGCGGTAACGCGTCTCACTTTGCGCACGCTCGTTGGACATTGAGACGCGTTAACGCGTCTCACCCTTATCATCCCTTTTTCTAAGCATGCGTAGCTTTTTCCGAATTGTTTGTCTCTCTTCTATGGATTAGAACCGTAACATTATTGTGAACCGACATTAGGTCATTGTTTGTTCAAATATGCTCCAGTTTAAGAAGAAGTTTTCCAAGCTCACCGAAACCGGCGACTTGGTTCATTAATATTTGTTTTCCATGCTATTCTCATGAACAACGTCAATAGAAAAGGGACAGTGAAAGTAAATGCAAATCTAAAGGAGACAGAAAAATAACACGCTTCACTTGGTATAACCCCCCATCAAAAGAGCGCTTTTGCATCCACTACAGATAAATTGACTAAAATTTCCTTTTTCATTACCATTACATGTTTTTTATCGGAACTGTCGTCCCTATACACTCTATACCTTGCACGCATTGAACTGTTACTGAGATGTTTTTGTTACCACTGGTGCTTTAAAAAAGTTATCAATAAAAATACGGATCCAAGGTGCGGCGGTCGCACATTCGCAAAATCGCGCCCGGTCCCCACCGCCAAAAAAGCCAAACACGGCGCGGTCGTCAATGGTGTTAACCACCTCACTATTGAATGTGTCAGACCTTTCCCTAATTTCGCTGAAGTTTATCGAAAATACGCGTTATACCTGGAGCTGAACTGACATATTTATCTCACAACTGTAACACATCCAACATTCTTCTTGAATTCAGAAAATTTAGTGGGTGAAATGGCTGCTAAAATTAAAATATGCCTATTTACATAAGCGAGGAGCTAAGGCATCATTTATTTACATTCACCATTATTAAAACTCCAAAAGGTTTTAGCGCTTCATGAGATTGGGCTTTCTGATAGACGTAAAACTTATCATTTGCTGAAGTTTGATTGAGTTTATGCAATCGGCTGCAATTAATTAAGGTGGTCACACACCTGGTATAATGTGCACGTAACCACTACAAATAGAATTTGCAATTAGGGACGCTCTAGTGTCAGCGCTAGAGGATCGACGACTTTTGCGTTCTGACGCGCCTTATCAGCCCTCAAACTGCAATCACTTTCAATCACCCATCAACATGTGCCCGTCCCACCCCCTCTGACCTTGTCAGTATGCACGGCCTAGTGTCAACGTCCGCTGCGCAATGGAATTGACGACTTTGCGTTCTGACGCACCTTATCAGCCCTTAACAATTGCTATCGCTTTCATTCATGTACGACCAATGTCCCGGGTCCACCCCACATAACACTTGTAAGTATGGTTGCTTTAGTGTCAACGCGAGCCAGGCAACGAAATCGACGACTCAGCGTTCTGGCGCGCCTTATCGGCCCTTGTAAGTGTAGACGCTCTAGTACCAATATGAACGACAAAACGAAATTGGCGATGCTCGCTTTCTAGCCCCTCTTATCAGCTATTTTCAGTCGTTATCAGTTCCTATCATATACCACTTGTATCCCCATCCCACCCCCTATAACATATGTAAGAACCATGGCGCTATCATTGCTGTGACTCGAGCTACGAATTTCGTTACAAATATACGTACACACTACATACACACGCACAGACATAGCGAATTATATATAGCAGGATAGTAGGATGGCGATTCGATTAAACACTCACAAGGTCTTCAGTAGATATGGAACGATGGTCGATACCTGCTCTAGACAGGTGGCACTGTGACATTACATGAGCTACAGCTTCGAGCTCCGTGAAAACCTCAAAATGCAACAATGAATTTAAGGAATCCTCGGAAAAATCGTGATTCTGTTTTTAAATCATTTAGTGAGTGGAACCCATTGTTCACGATAAGAAGAAAAAAATGCATTTGTTTTTATAAAAAACTTGAAAACTGAAAGGCTGCTACGCGATCGAAGTACCGCCGGACATCTGTTAGAAATGCCGGCGACGGGGAGCTGCACCTGACTCTCGGAGTGCCGTCACAAACTCTTTCTGCCTTTTGGCTTACTGTATCAACATCTCACACTTCTACTGCATCTTATTCTATCGATCGGTTTGTCTCTACTCTCCAAAATGGCAAGCTTTACCGGTTTTTTCAGTGCGTCGTCTGATACGTAGCCCCAACCGGACTTCTTTCCATGCCCCGCCTCTGGCTCCGCGCCACTCACGTTCGATTGTCCATAGTGTGATTTCTGTAAGCCTGTTCTTGTACCCACGGATATCTTTACCTGAGGGTCTTCTCTCACTGAAAGATCTCTAGCTACTTAGTAATGAGGCTACGTGGCGCGACCCCAGGTGGTGGATAGGGGTAAGTCGCGGACAAAAAGCCATCATGTACTTGCCCTGAGACGCAGAAGGATTCAGGAGATGGACTCCCTGTTTCTGCAGTACAGTGCTGATTCATATCAGCTGTCTCCACTCAGGCGTATCCATGCATACTTGCGTGTGTGGTGCGCTCTGCGTTTGTGCGGTTGGTACCTGCATGTCGGCGCAGCCGAAAGCTTGCATTCAAGTGACTGGGAAGTACATGAGAGGCGATTCGGGACCGCCTCCTAAAACTCCTTCCGCTTCAGGATGGCGTAGCTAACTACCTAGAGGTCTATCCTAGCCCACACGACAGAGCTTGGCAAGCTACTCGTGTGTGCCGACAACAGCAATATGGATTGGTCTCATACTCCTGAACCTGAAGGAGCCCCCAATACGGCAGCGTTGGGTAGCACCGCTCGGAGAGGCTGTTAGTTTCAGGATCGATAGGCTTCCTAAACGGAAGAAGGACTAAGATGGCGACCGGAAGCTCACCTCGAAGATCTGATGATGCAGGCCAGGACGATCAAGTACGGCGTCATCGGACTGACCGAGACGAGAAGGCACCATCCGCTACACACGTTTCCGGTCTGGAGAAGAACTGTTCCTTGAACATGCGACAGCAGATGGCGTTGGCGGTGTGGGTGTCCTCGTCCCCACAGACTTGGCCATAAACCTCGATTCGTACGAAAGCCTTACGACCCGAATCGGGCGTTTGAAAGATGAGCCCGATGTGGACTCCTGCTTTGACAATCTTCGTCGCCTACGCAGCAACATCCAACTACGTCGAAGAAGAACACGAAGCATTCTATATGGAATTGGAGAAGTTCTACAGGGAAGATCATACCTTCTTCAAGGTCATCGTCGGCGACTTCAACGCTAAGATTGGCCCAAGAAGAACGGCTGAAGAACTTCGTCTCGGTATTCACGGAATGGATTGGAATGAGCAGGGCGAAAGACTGTCTGAGTTTAACAAGACGACCAACACCATCCATGGTAACTCACCGCTCTAAAGCCCTCTCGCTTTCGTTGGACTTGAGGTCACCTGATGGGCAGTTCCATTACGAGATAGATCACATCATCTTCAATCGAAGGTTTTGCCCGACCGATGTCGCTATTGTTCCAAAGCTCTATACAGGATCGGACCATTGTCTCCTCCGTGCAAGATACCACTTCTCGATGCGTTTTGAGGGAGCAGCAAAGTTCAGGAAGCGAAGCCCCAGGAAAATTACCAATTGGTATCACTTCGCTTATCTCGCCAGCTTATGGGAGGATTCCGTTATCGAAAACATCTACTATCGGCTCGTTGACCATCTTCACGATAGTGGCGTAAGGCAGAGAGTTCGAGTCGCCAAGGGACGTCTGTCTCCAGAAATGATACGTCAACGTGTTGCCCGCACGAGGTGCAGGCAACCACCAACTCGCGTCCGAGCTTGGGAAGCTATACAGAGAGGCGATAAAAGAAGATCTCAAGGAGCGGAGAGCAGCTGTTTTGGCTGAAGCAGCAGAGGCTGGAAAGAGCATCCGCAATGCGCGCCGAAGCTTTGCCAGCTACAAGACCAAACGACCAACTGCCTCCAACGTCAGGATTGAACAGTTACTGCATCCCGAAGGACAATGGAAAAAGTCAACCACGACTTCTACTCGGATTTCCTCGATGGCCATGTTCATCTGCCTACTTATCAACCGCAACAGGATGGATACGTCGTCCCCTCAGTTCTCTCGTCTAAGGTCCGACATGCCATCAAGTCGGTGAAGAATTGTACACCACCCGGTCTCGACAGGGTTAAACCGGAACATCTGAAGAACGCACCGTCAGTTATCATCAAAACTCTGGCTCGACTCTTCACGTGCTACATGTCGGGATGCAAGGTACCCACTCCTGGAAAACGAGTGTTCAGCACGATCGACCTATCCACACGATTACAAGACTCATTAAGGTTTCACGTGAGCACAACTTGCAACTCTGTCTGCGCCCATCGACTCGAAGAAGGCCTTCGACTCTGTGGAGACAGAAACGGTCATTGAGCCTTGGGCAACCAGGGCGTCCCTACTCACAAGGGATGTTACCACCCCACATCACAATAGGTCGGTCCGGCCAATTGTGATGAGGGGTGGTCCGAGCGCGTCTTGTGACGCTGAGCTCAAGTCTGCTTTCGGTTTTTGCTGAATGATTCTCTGAACGGAGTTACGAGGGATGAGCCTCACTGTGGCGCCCTCTACATTCCCAGTCCCACCCGTCTCACATAAAAAGAGCCGCAGACTAACATAACCCAGCGGGTATGTGGTCTAGTGGATAGCGCTCTTGCTTCATAGGGGTAAGATCATATGCTCGAATCCTTGCCGGCCGCTAACGTTTGCATTTTTTCAAGGCTGCTCATACGAGCCCAGAAAGCGTTTATGAGCGATTATTCTCTTATGCGTTCTGTTCTTCCGTCCTGTTTTTACGCGAGCTAAGTGGGATAAGGGGACATAGAGGGCGCCACAGTGAGAAGTATTCCTCGTAACTTTGTTCGGAGAACCGTTCGGCAAAAACTGAAAACTGATTTGAGCTCAGCGTCGCAAGACGCATACATCGGGCTACACCTCATTTTAAATGGCCGGACTGACAACTCACCATTCCTTATCAGTGCATGAGGATCCTCGTGAGCTATACGCAACTTCACGACCAGAATCTCACCATTCTACAAGGAGGTCATTATCGACGTCAAGAGAGGGGTTCGACAGGGCGACACCATCTCGCCCAAACTCTTCAGCGCCGCTCTCGAAAACGTCATGCGTCAGTTGGAATGGGAAGACATGGGAGTGAAGGTGGACGGCTGGCAACAACATCACCTTCGTGTTGCTGATGGCATCGTTCTTATAACGCCGAATATCGAGCAAGCGGAAGGAAAGCTGGCTGATTTCGATTGTGCCTAAGTATGGTCCGTCTGCAGCTGAACCTAACGAAGGTGTTCAAGAGGAATGGACTGTTCTTCATGCCGCCTTCACGTTCAACGGAACGAACATCTCCGAATGCTCCAGCTACTTGCATCTAGGTCGGGAAATCAACATGATGAACGACTTAGCTCTAGAGCTGAGCGGGAAACGAGCGGTATGGGGAGCGTTCAAGAACATCGACGGAGTAGTGGATAAGACGAAGAACACCCGCTCCGTGCTGTTGATGGATGAGGCGCACACCAAAGTGGGCGGAGTTTGCGACGGAATTTCACAACTCAGTTCCAAGTCTCGGAGGCCGGGAAAAAGGTGGACAGAGGTGGGTGAAGGAGTGGAGCTCAACTGCTATTGGTGGGCGGGGCCTGACCAAAGCGGGCGGAGTTTGCGACGGAAATTTATAACTCGGTTTCAAGAAGTCTCGGAGACCGGGAGAGAAGTGGGCGGAGGAAAGGAAGTAAATCTCCGATGATGTGCGGAGGATACACCAAAAAGGTTGGTTCCACTGCCAAAATATAAATCGGTGAGGCAGTCCGAGACCGGGAAAAAAGGACAACTGGGAGGAATGCGGACAATTGGTGGACGAAGGAAGGGAGGCCAAAAGCCATCGTTGGATGAGGCATGGTACAATCGGGTAGAATTCAGCTTGGAAGTCAAATATTCGAAGTGTATTAGGCCAAATTCGAGAATTTACGCCGCACCACCCCACATTGAAGCAGAACTGTGTTGTGCGCGCAACGCGTGCGGCGCCAAATAGTAATAAGTAAACGACTCCATTTCAGCACTCTTTTGATAATAACCAGTGGATGTCCTACATTCGACACATCCTGCCCACATCCACTTTTCTGCAAAGGCCATCCATGTCAGAGCTTCTTCACCCTTGGCTTAGGCAGAGGTGTGCATTCTCCTTGTTCGAGACCCTTCACTAAGACCATGGCAGATGGTAAGGTGAAACATCCCAGGGTCCCTTCCACATTTCACCGATACTTATCAATCAAAGCAAGCTTTAAATGAGTCGATTACGTGTCTTGAGCGCTCTTACCATTGTCTTTAGTATAGGAGAAACAAAGGAATGCCGCCCCCCTCGAACTTGGATTTCATCTTATGATAATGAACCAATGAGTAGTATACTGCCTACCCCTGATTTTTTTTAGCTGTGACTGGACGGGCTTTCATAAATCAGCACAGGAGCCATGGTTTGCAGTGTGACCAGAAATTGAGAATGTTGCCATCTGATTTCGATGGCATCGATCGCGTCAAAAATTCATGCCATCCAAAGGCTTTTTAGTGTTCACTATTTTCGTTATTATTCAACTACGGTCTGCGTTCGATAGAAATTGGGAAATCCTACATTTATAAAATGCACACGAGTAGTTGACCATTCACAACAGTTGACGGAGAAACAGACACAGACACGCAGGCAGATATAGCGCATTATATAGAAGAGAAATTCAAGAAATAACTCACATCAGTATTGCAAGGCCCACATTTGAAAATGGTTCCGCGGCTATCTGATGGCCAGTGATTGTAATCTACGAATGACCACGTCCATCTACAACCAGAGGGAGGTCGAGGGGACGAGAACTCTTGAGCGCGTATTCGAACATCTTCCAAATTTTGTTCGTGACGGCGACATGTTGATTCAATCTTAACTCTTTCGCTATTTCAGCACTCTTCCCACTCCAAAAACACTAAAGCACTACCTTTTCCTGAATTCGCTTTCTCAGAGACTCATTCCCCTCAGCATCAGCCAGTCGTAGCTCGTTGAGTTTTTCTTGTTGCTGTTTGCGCTTCTCACTTCGCAATCGCTCCTGTTCGTTTCTCTGGGCGGCAAGCTGAGCATGACGAGCTTCTTTTCGCTCTGCGATTTCTTGAAGTCGTGCGATTCGCTCCTACAAAGACTTGTTCCGAAATCTTAAATGAAACAAGCGTTTGGAAAAATAACCATTTCTGCCACTTTACGCCTTTCTTCAGCAGCGTGCTCTTTTGCTGCCTTCTCTTCCATTCTTCTTGCACGTTCTTCAGCCATCGTTTGTTTCCTCTCCTCTACACCAGCGTCCCTCATCCGTAAATCAAGTAGCATGTTGCCGCCTTGCAGCGAATTAATGAACTGAACTTCTAGAACCTGGAAATGAATTTCACATGAACTAATGTAAGATAATGGGCCGCTCAAATCGCAATTGAAAGAGAAAGGAAAACACTGAAAACAGATAAAAAGATTGGGGAAGAAAAAGCGAAGTGACGGGGAGTCGGGAAGGATAGCTGGTCGCAGTAAAGTTATTTTCCAGAGAAGCATCACTCAGAAAGATACAGCGTGAATAACTCAAATACAAATCCAGAAACATTTATAATGGAAATGACAAAATCAATAGTCATAAAAATAGATCAACTCCAACTACGGTTGGGGGGAGGGGCGAAAAATTACGTGCGCGCGACTTTTTTCGTTTCAAACATTGTATGAGAAATGCAGGTGTGCTTTTTCTTCTCAAATTGTTTGTCTATTGCAAATTATTGGTTTGCAGGAGAAAACATTTGTTTTCCAAGTCTACACAAAGACCTGCTCAAGTTGGAACACGATTGGGCAGATGTGAACACCTGGACTGAGAGCTCAGCAACTCCTTCGAGGCTCGCCGTTCCTCTAGGAGCCGTCCAGAAATCTGGAAAACAATAGAAAGAGGAAAAGCAGGTTCCACCTAGACCAGTAAGGGAATGAGGGCGGAGTAAGAGCTCCTAATTGGTGCAGAGAATTACTAAAAAAGGAACGATCAGAAAGCCGACCTGAGCTTGAATAAGGGTCCGAACAGTAGAAAATTCCCGAGACCTGGTCAAAATGATAGCAAAAATATAGCGCGGAATGGACTCCAAAAACTAAAAGGGCAGCTTTCCACCGTTCAAGCAATGCAAGATTGGAAAGAAAAGTGTAGGAAATTGCGAGATTTCTTTCAAGATGCGGCGGTTCCAAAACTTCTTTGCACTTATAAAATGTCATGATTTGAGATTTCATGAAATTACTTTCAAATTTTCGAGGACAAGGAATAAAGTTCGGACGTGTTTTTTCCCGCATGTAATTTTTCGCCACCCTCTATTAGCTTGAATCATAGGCCTATGGACATTTGAAGAAAATTAAAATTTATAATATTAGGTTGTCCCATAATTAGTGGGCGGAAGTGGTGTAGTGACGAGTGGCGCGCTTACCACGCGAGCGGTCTGGGGATCAAATCATGGGTCGTGTGTCGCCCGGGCCAACCAAGCCTTCCATCCCTACGGGGTCGATTAATTGGTACCAGACTTGTCTGGGAGGATAAAAAACACTGACTTGTACATCAGCTGGCCCCCGCAAGTCATTGTATAGGATACATCGCATTCAAAAGCCACTGCGAATGTACAAATGGAAGTAGAATGCGTGCCGCCTCGGAATGCTTTATCCTTTTCTTTTATCCCATAACTAGTGAATCACTTTGAGCATTTTTGAATTCAATTTTTTTTCTTTTTTATGTGAAGTCTTTGCTCATCGAAACATACACCTCTCTCATCTAGAATCTAGAATGTGCCTATACAAGGAAATTTGGTAGCTATCTTTTCTCCAGAATTCCAGGAGCTATTGATCGAAGAAAGATCAGAAGTCGAGTTTGAGGTCATGTCACTTAGCGTAAAACTTCTTTCTAAGGACGAGCGCTAGAGCTCGGACTGAGATGTCTATTGTTGGCAAGAGGGTAGGGCTACACAGCGGAGGTCAAAGAACTGTCGGCCTGGGAGTCTCCAAATTTTTATGAACATTCTCCTCAAGGTGGGCTCGAACAAGAAAGAAGGCAGACATTCTCGTGCTTTACTTTCAAATTGACCGCGCCGCCAGACGATGTTCTTCTTCTGTAAGTCTAGTATCAGTGGGCGGCGGTTCTCAGCGCATGGTTTCTCATGTGCTCCACCAACATCTCAGAAGTGTCAGACTTGAAAGAGATTCGGCTTTTGCTTTCAGAACTCCCGAATCGTTCATGCTAGGCTACTGTTTTTCGGGGATTTGTTAGCACAGTCCACCCAGTCCAGAACCCTGGTGAATATGGTGGGTAATCATTGCAAGGAACTAAGTGAGATCAGAGGGAACATGATGATGTCAGATCGTGTGTGGAGCTGTTTCGGGCTCGGAGCATACAAAAGACAAACTTCATATTTTAAAATCTTTGCAACTCTACGTAAACGACTACATTCCATCATTTTCACAGCTCGGACATGCTCTAACAAATGGCGACTAATTTGTCCAGATCCACCCTCAGTGGCGCTGGGTACAGCACTGAGATTGCCAGTGAGGGGCAGTTGGAGTGTGGCTCACCTTCAACTGGAAAAGCCAACTTCTCGATAGAGTGAACCAGAAGCAGACCTTGGATTGAGAGAGCGAGCCCTCGTCTATCTGCTAGTTCATCCATTACGTTGCTAGGCGTTTGAAAGATCCTAATCGGATGTGATTAAAGTTGATTAGTGTTGATTAAATGGGCTGAGTAATTGCTCAAACAGGATGATGGTGTGCTACTTCGCAAAACATGTTTTACGCCTTCACCATTTTTCTTGGATTTTTTATAGCAATAAATGTGAAGTGATTCACTAATTATGGGACACCTAATAATACAAAATTATAACAGTGGTATACATATTAATTAGGGTGTGGTTCACTAGGACAAAAAGCGACTTTCGCGTTTCGCAGCGCGAAACATTGCTCGTAGAAGGAGTCTCGGAAGTACTGATGATTCGCTGCAGGAACCCCAGGTCCACTCATGATCAGCGGTGAACCTGAGGCTCCCGCAGCGGAAAATGTTTCGCGCTGCGAAACGCGAAAGTCGCTTTCTGTCCCAGTGAACCACACCCTATCAATTGAAATATCCTCCATCAACGTTCTCTCGCTAACATATGGAGACTTGAACGCCTTTTCTCCTAAACAAGGCCACTGGACCATTATGAATCCAACGAACGCTTTCCAAGAAACGCCATAATTTTGATAGTTTGGCCGCTGAGTGACGCTGAATCTCCAAAAACAGGTTGAAGGTTCGATCTGGAGAGCAGAGTGGTAGGAAATATAGCCTAGCAAAAGCGGCTACTTCAGTCTTCATGTTGTCTGCCATTACCGTGCTAGAACTCAAGTTTGCTTGTTGGATACGCGTGTTCAGGAAGGGATTTTCAGCTTTCGCACATGGGCACTATTGCACTATTACAACCCCAGAGGGGGTGAGATGGGTCAAAAAATTTTTTCGCTGAAACTTCGCATATGGGGGTTATCGAGGGTCCTGATCACGAATATGACCTCCATTTTTGGCGCAGGCGCCAATTGGCGCCGAATGGCGATTTCAGCGAATTCGGTGGGAACACCTTGCTTGCCACTACGGCTCCAATGCGCCCCACAGGTGTGCGCACCGAATTCGCGCTGAAACTTCGATATGGGTTATCAGATGGTCCTGATCTACGATATTTACTCCCATTTCTTGGGGCGCTTTGGCGCCAATTGGTTAGCAAAAGGGTTGTCCACCGATTCGCTGAAACTTCGCATATGAGGGGTATTCGCGGTCCTGATGCACAGAATATCTGACCTCCATTTTCTGGCGACTGACCCTCTCTATTACCGTGCCATTAGTTCACAGGGTAAAAGTGGAATGAAAGATCGGAGCAATTCCACGCTCGAGCCAGTCATGTCGTGTGAGTGAAAGACCTTTAAGGCATTTTTCCCACGCGTTGAGACAACAGGCTGTTGAAGGATGTGACCCCAGGGATTCCCCCAACGCTGAACTAACTCAGGGCTGTGTGATAGGCGATAGTGACCCATGAGATTCCCCACGCTTGGAACGAGCAACCGTTATGGATTTCTGCATGCCATTGCCATACGGCTACATTTCTCCCACTTGCGTGACCGAAGTAACGCTATGGCTCTCAACGCTTTGAGCGCACACTGTACCACGCCACCGGAGGGAGTGCCATGACTGCTCATGAAGGAGTCTTCTGAAAAACCGCAGATGGATCCCCCTGCACGTCTTCCAGATTGGCGCCTGCGAAAGTTATGCGTCTGATGTCCACCGCCATTATGTCCATTCCTCAGCCAAAGGGATGCCCAATGTCGCCGAAAATCATCACGAGCCACCACAATGGCCTGATTTGTAACCGAAGCGTCGCCGACTGGACCAACGAAGAACACGAAGTCGACCGTCGCCTGCAGAATAGCGCTCATTTTTTCGATCCCATTCGTCAACCTCCAGCCGAGACGGACCGCTGTCAGTACTGTCCTACCTTCTGGCTCGTGACATGGGCAAAAGTGCCAGCCACCAAGCGTTACGAGCTGCACATCAATCCTCCGCACTCGTTGTTCAGGTGGCGCCAATATTTCTCCGTGATTTGTGCGCAGAGACTTCAGAAGGAACTCTCAACCGAATGCAGTCGATGATTGATGGACAAGTGAGATCGACGAACCGTTGTAATCTAGCGCAAAGTACATACCGTGACGCTGGTCCGTAAACAGGCTCAATGGCTGTTTCGAGGCATCGAAAGGGGCAGCGGTCGACACTGTCCTGCTAGCGTTCTGTTTCGAAAGGAGGCGACGCTCCTACTCTTCTTGCGCTCATTACTAATACATCAGACCTGAACACACCATCTTGCTGACAGTTGAGAGCTTACTCCAAATTCCCCGCCCTGCCCTCGATACAGACATTTCCATGTCAAACTCACCCAATTGAATCTTCGTCAATCCCAGGACGAGCACACACTCAGCATTTTGAATCCCTCTGCAGAATACATAGGAGGTGCAAAGGACGCTAGCGGCATCAACACCGCTCGATATTGACCATATGACACGAGTTCACTGAAAAAGCATACGGAGGTTCGACGCGACGCCCTGTACAATTTCGGACGTTCAAGTAGCAGCACTCTAAACCTCTTGCTGAAGAGTCGATCATCGTTCCATGAGGTCTACCCGACGCTGCCTCTTATTGGCTCACATTCATAGTCACTCGGCTCCGTTAAACAAGGAACTAAGAATGATAATAAACTTTTCACAAGTGTGTGAGTGTTCCGTACTGCGAGGACTCGTTGTAGTTTGGATTGTGAGGAGTGGCATTTTTGGTGCAATATCACGTCCGAGTATAATTGCGGACAAAAATTCTGAAGGAAAAAGTTTGTAGAGTGAATTGACTCTCTTTTCGCAAAATAAAGTGCAAGGGACAACATTTA